GATGATCCGTCGCATATACCGTATAATTCGGTATGATGATATATCGGTTATTGAATATAACAAAAATAAAATAGGATCATTCAATAATAGAAATGTTAATTTATTTTTATGAACATCTTCAAAACATTTGATACACAGTGTCGGTTGATCATAACACTGTGCGCAATATGTAACAACTTTATGAAAATTTCAATATTTTTCCCACAATTCTTATAAATTGCTTCAATATCATTAAAAAAATGTATAAGAAATATTTAAACGTTTAAAGGTTATAATTGACGTAAGATATTTGACGTTTCTCTCAGTCCATAGGCGTCCACGAAAATTTTTTTGGGGGCAGGCAACCCGAAAAGCGCCGTCCTTAACGTGTTAACAAACAAGTATGTCATTCTCTCTCTTTTTTATTCACTGCCTGTCCTCTACGAACCTGCACACTCAGACGTTCGAGACGAACTGTCGCAGCAAATTAAAGTCCAGAAAAATATTTAATTACTTAATGATCCTATATAACAGTGTTTCTCAAACTTTTAAGTCCGCGACACCCATTTGCGCGTAATAAAATTCTGAGACCCCTGAATAATGGGCATGTGTAATATCCCGGATTGATCTGTCATCAATCTTTCACTTTGAGAATCACTGCTTTATAATATGTATAAATGCATTTAAATAAACCTGGCCTCGCAAAAGTTTATGCCAGCCATTGGCGAAACTTCAAATATTTAACCTCTCCCCACAAAATGTTATTCGGGCCACTAAATCGCTCGGGATTTTTCAAATTTGAAGTTCGAGATCCAAAACATATTTGAATCGGTGGCAATCGCAAGCCCGACAACCGAAATCCCGTCTATCGAAATCCCGATGTTCGAAATCCCGAGTGTATCGAAATCCCGACTATGTCAAAATCTCGACTACCATAATCCCGACAATCAAAATCCCGACTATATCGAAATTCCGACAATCTAAAACTTAATAAGATTATTAATTGTTGTTATTTATTGTTTATAACATAAACTAATTATATTATAGAATATTTCTTATTCTTAAGTTTTATAATGAATAAGACAACGAAAAAAAAAACAATAATAATTAATATTATTTATTGTTATTAAGAATAAATAACAACAATTAATAATCGGGCAACAGAGCCATCGACCTAAGTTTTAAAAATATTTTTTTCAGTATCCGTCGTACCTATTAAAATATAGTAGAATAATATAAAATGTTATTGTAGAAATTATAATAATAAAAGACACTGTCGGAATTTAGATTGTCGGGATTTCGATATATTCGGGATTTCGATACAATCGGGATTTTGATTGTCGGGATTATGGTAGTCGGGATTTCAATACACTCGGGATTTCGAACGTCGGGATTTCAAGACACTCGGGATTTCAATACACTCGGGACATTTAGAGATTTTTTAATTTTACTGTTTACTGTTTCACCTACTTGTTATGAAACAAGTAGGTGATGCAAAATGTTTGAAAACTATGATTATTTACTATTATTAGAACTTTTAGTTGGGCGATACAGTACAGTGTTATAAATGCAAAAAAATTCATAGTATTTGATTTGCATTTAATGTTACAAGCGCTATTTTGAAAAAATGTATTCTAATAATGTGAGTATCAAAGTTATTAGAAACATATATAATATAGACAAGAAGTGTTCCTATTACAACGAACAGATTGATGAAATAGATTTTTTATAAACATTGAAGTGTTTGAAAATGCCATAACTTGTTCATTTTTAATCTTTTTTATTTTCTTTTTTTACAGATCATCCCATGGAGATGGCTATGTATAATATCCAGCAACGAAAACAACTCATTGGGGTTTTCTATTCGTGTGAAAATTGATCTCAGAGAAAATACCGGCACTATTGAATGGGGGTACTGAGAATGGGGTAAGTTGAAGCTGATGTAATTCCCTGTTACATCAGCATCAACTGCTTCCCCAAAAAAACCTAAGGCTACTTAAAAGATCGGGTTTACCTAAATAAACTTCGAACAATTCAAGAACTTAAGAACATTCCAGCCGAAATCATACTTTTACGAACCGAAACCTTACGTACATGGAAAATGCTATGGAAAGAGTATGCATTTGTTAGCAGGAAAATGGTAGACAAGACCAACGCATCAAAACTGATCGGTCAGTTTTGGATGAAATAAAAAATATAACTTGTATTTAATGTAGGATTACGATACATACAATGTTGGTACATTTAGTGTTAATTCTGACGTCACTGACCAATCAACACATTTGTTTAAATCTCGTACACCACTACTTTGATATTTTTTTCTATAAAAGTAAGACTTAATATGAAATAGTACTTACATCTGCTTTTGTACTATGACTGTTATAAACATACAACATAAGGCGAAAATTGCAAAAGCATGTAGAATCAGAATAAAATAAATACCAAAAATTTAAATAAATTTGGTCGGCGACCACTGAGTTACAAAATCAAAATTAAACTTTTTTTTACTAATGTTAATAGATAAGGATTATAACAACAACGTATAATCTGCATTTTAAAAATATAATTAAGGAATTTTAGGATTTTTTTTATTTAATAATTTATTTAAAACTTGTGTACACAATAAATGGCACTTACATACATTAATAATATATATATTTTTTTTACATCAACTACTTCCTGTCCCACGGGTACAATCAGACATAATTAAACAATTGCATGCAATTCCCGAATCCTCAAGGATTCCTTAAATTTATTAAAAATAATATATTATATGGTTTGTTTAAACGTACTATGCGATATTGTAAATGATTAAACTTAATAACTAAAAAAATAATAACAATTATGTTTCTCTGTCCCTCTCTGTACTTATTACATTGCTTAAACTAATTAACTTTTATTCGAATAATAATATTAAGTCGGGTTGAAAAGAATTTATTTTAATTAATTTTAAATAACCAGTAAAATGCATCAAATTACTACATTCAGCAAAAAATCTCAGATTTGGAGCGATTTTCGTATAGTAATAAAAATCGTTGCAAATTTATGATGATATTTGATTAAGATATCTGTATGATATGCGTATACAAAGTAATTAGATACAAAAGAAAATTAATGTTATTACATTACATATTTCGTAGCAAATACAGAATGTCTCAACGTTTACGTAATTGATTTTGAATATTATATGGTTTCAGACTAGCCGTTAATTTAATGTTCTAAACACAGATCTTGTTAGAATCGGTAAAAAACCTGACCGTGCTTATGGTAAACAAATAATTGTATTAAACTTTGACAATCTTGTAAGCACTGCAAGCTAATAAATATTAAAATACGTATTTATGTAACGCCAGTTGAAGCATGTAATTATTAAACATATATTTCCAATTTTTTATTCAGGAAATTTTATAGTTTCGTTTATAGTTTGAGCACACATATACATGATAATTTTACTGGCTTCATTGTTACTGCGACAAAACAATAAACATATAATAATTACAATAATACATTCTCTTTCTCGTCAAGTATTTACAACAAACAAATAAACTGAACAGTAAAATATTTAAATAATAAAATATCATTTGGTTCTAACAAATTAAAAAGAAATTATAATAATTGTTAACAATTATATAAGTAACATGTGGTTCAATTTATACTTTTTTCCATAAAAAATTTCAACATTTATTTACAGACGTATCGTTATTTTCTTCGATTTATTTGATTCGTTGCTCTTCATTATAAAAAAAAATAATTAATGCGTTTATTTATAGCATCATTAATATTTTTGTTAACGAAATTGATAATTTGTTTCGCGAATTATTAACTTTTTACCCATAATAACATGGTTATTATGATACGTAAATATGCAATAAATATGTTTATAACCTTGCACATTATAGTAGCATTGCAAATAACACGTACAACTTTATCTACGATGTCCTCTTCCGTTCATTTGGCCGCCCTGGACTAACATCGGCGGTGGTCCTCCACGCGCTTCATACATTCCTCTGGGTACCTCTGATCTCTCGATTTCGTCTCCTGATAAATCTAAGTCTTGTACCATTTGCATAATTTCTCGTTCCTTCTTCATATCTTCCCTGTCTTCCACCTGAATCGAATGAAAGGAATTAGTAATGTTGTGTTTATTGCATGATTTTGTTGTATACTTACATCATTCCCGTTTGGTATGGGCGTTGCAAATTTTAGATTGGCAAGGCTGCCGTAGCTACGGGACCTATGTTCTTGCCTGATAGAGTAGCTGAACGCTCGTTCGTTAAGGTGACCTTTTTTTCTATAAATACCAGTGTTGTAGGGACTCTCGTCCAGGTTCTGAGGTTCGTCAAGTCCGTTCATGCTCTGCGCTAGCTTTTTACTCATCTTACTCTGCTTTTCTTTGCTGCCCTTTTTATTTGCTTTCGTTTGAGATTCCATCGTCGCGTATTGCTGCATTAGATATGCTTCGTGTGGGAAATTGACAGGCTGGTAGCTTGCGATAGGGCTCAGCGCTCTGGAGCTGGGCATGTAAATGGGTTCTTCCATTACTTGCGGTTGCTTCTTGTTGCGTTTAGTTTTGGGCATCGTGCCGGGACCTGGTATTAATGTCACAGGTACCAGAGGTGGAGGGATCGGTCTTGGGCCCGGGATCAGCATTTTATTGCCCCTAGGACGGTGCGAGAATGTGTTCCCGTATTGCTTGAAAAACTTGGGGTTAGGTAAGGTCTGCGGATGGGAATGAGGATGTGCCATGATGTATATGGGCTGTTGGGGCATCATCGCCGGATTGTTCTTGGGTTTCATCATCGTTCCTGACACGCTGTTCGCTTTCCCGTTCATCAGAGGGTAGAGTTCTTCCTTGGAGCCTGCCAACAGTTTCTTGTTACGCTTCTTATTCTTCTCTTTCATTGGTGGTGGAGGGACAACCGAGACCGGCTGTGAGATTTGTCGAGGACGACTAGGTCTGCTAATAGTCGAGGTCGAATATACATCGTAGATCCCATCCAGATTGTCCTGGGATCCTACCCAAACCTTATGGTTCTCGTCTCCGTTGTAAATACTGATGTCGTCCTTTGAGTTCCCGATCGTGTTGATCGTCATCGACGAGCCGCTTTGCGATCTGCTCATCTTCCACTCCTCTACCTTATCTTTAGCTGACCTCTCCTCAGAGGTCGATGGAGCCAAAGTCCCGTAAATACTACCATTGGTATCCACCTGCTTCGCGTACGAAGAATCCGCGTACGCGTGGAAGCAGCACCTGACCAGAGCGTTAGCTGCAACTTCCCGTTTGCATATGAAGGCATGACATTCAAGAACCTTAATCCCAGTTGTTCTTCTCAGGATTGCGGCGAATAATGGTGGATGTACGGGATTGGGGGTCCGCGCGAACGGCGAGTCAAGGGGCAGAAACCTCGGGCTCGGATTGTGCAATGTATTCTTCTCCGGAACCAAAACGTACCTGTTGAATAAATGCAAATTTAGAGGAGTAATGAAATCGGGCAGTAAGCCGTTTGTAGAATATCCGAATCTTTCACTTTTCGTGTATTTCGCAAGTAAAACGGACCGTTAAGTTTATATAAGAAGTATTTTATGTGTGCGTTCATGTGTTGTGTAAACAAAAATATTTGTTAGTCCGAACGGTACTCGAGCAAATATCGCTTTGTTTTCTCACATACACTGGCACATATTACTGTTATTACGTCACAAATACCCCTCTGATTAACAAGTACAGTCATTTAATTCTCTTAATATCAATTCAGTACATTTTTTCACAATCTGCAATATTAATAAATATTGTGTTTCAATTGACTTGAAATGTAAAAGTCATAAAATAATGCAAAAAAAAAGTATATTTAATTATTTATTAAGGCGGGAATTCGTTATAATAGAATAAATAATGCATAAGCTCAGTTAAAGACAGTTTCTAGGAGCGTAGAACTAAACATCGACTATCAAGGAATTACTATATGCGAGTTCCTTAGAAATTTGTAAATAGACAATTAAGTTAGTCTGTGAAGTTCTTTAAATTTCATAGCAGTAATTATAAATATGTTACTAACAAATATCAATTAATATAATACAGTAATGTGATTTTTTTGACTTAACACATTGAATATTCATGTTTAAATTTAAATCGAAACTATGTAAATATTAAAATCGAATTGATCGAATTGATATAACCGATTTTGATTTATGACAGAAAACTGAAACTCTGAAATTTGAGATGCAATATTAGAATGTTTAAAATAATATGTAATTCATAAATCATTTTCATACTCATGAATATTTAGAATTTTATATAGGCACATTAAAGTATACTTCATTAAAAAAGTATTAATTTAGAGATGTATATACATTTTTGATAGAAGTAAACAATACCAGAAATTTTTTAATATTGTAATTCTTAAATCATCATCCTCTAAGACAATGAATCATTGTTATTTATATTTTTGATTTTGTTCAATGAATGATTTCAATGGACTATTTTTAGATTCCTTTCTATTTTTTGTCGGTATACGCTTCGCGAAGTTCCTCTTTTCGGCGATAAATGTATTTTTTTTCGATGGAATTACATAATTGACGAATATTTCCAAATTAAGTAAATAGCTCTGCAGGAACGAAATCGAATGAAACTCCTTTAAATTGCATAAGTTTTTGTACGTCACAATCATAAAATCGGTACGTGCGTATTTTTTGGATTGCAATGTACATATGTATTATTTTTATAAACGAAAAGCGGAGGATACAAGAAATATAATTAATCCAACAGTACTTGATCTCTCCGATGGCAGACTTTAAAATTGGGTTCTTGCATTTGGATACACACCCTTGGGCGCTCCGGTGTCTCCAATCCTCAACTTTCTCGACATTCCATTCTTTATTATCTCAGACCTCGTTCCAAGAAGAAATATATACACTTGCGGGAATTACATTACAACCGTTTATTATTTGCTCGTTATACGCATTGCAGGATTCCTAATTAACTGTACTATTGACTACAATTAATAGAAATAAATAGTTTGATAGTTAATTACAGAAATAAACATCATCGAAAGAAAGTAAACTTCATTTGTGGAATCTCAAAAGTCATGCATTGCATAATTATCGTGAGAGTTTATGTGAATATAATGCAAAGAAGAAATTGGATCTTTTCGTTAAGTATTAAGTTAAGTAAGTATTAATTAATTTCTTCAAAAATATACAGTTAATACTTATACCGCTTTCTCGTTTTTTTTAAATATTTGGTCATTCAATTATATGTAACGACCATATTTCAATATAGTTCATCGAAGCTGTGTCAAAGTGACATACTTAAAAATTTTAAAAATATTTGCTGCATAATACTAATTACAGTCCCATAGATGTAAGGTCACACCTTTAAAATGGCATTTCTTAATTATTAAAATAACATATGTATATGTATTTATTTTAGTTTACATCTTATTTTTTATATATTAATAATCTATCTTAATATAGCGTTCTAAAATTAAATTTAAAACAAAAAGTATAGAATTCAAATGTTGATCCATTTGAAAATAAATTTAAATATGAAAATGTCCATACGTAGGTTCACATTATTTTTATTTAAGAATTTCAAGTTTGAAGCTACATTTAGAAATTGTGTAATAGTTCGGATGCAATGATTTAATCCATTACGTGTGCTACTCGAACGTTTAAAAAAAAGTACAGTCCATCGGTTGGCGAGATCAATTACAAAGCTAATTGCGGAGAAATAGGTGTTATGCACATGAAATCAATCTGCTTTTGCAATTACCACACAGTGCATTGCATGATTGCAAACTTATTAGTATGTCGAGCTAGCAAAATGGAAGTAAACACGTGCCAAAAACATTTTCACACTTTTCATTTACAAAATATCGTTCGGCTGCCTTTTTGTAATACGACTATTATGGAACGGAGAAAGTTTTTGTCGGTCACGTTGCTATGACAATTAATTTCAGTTTTATTAATCAATCGGCGTACATCAATTACACTGAGATATTTACATCCGGTTTACGGTGCATCTTAATTATTATGTTTTTAAATTTACTGCATGTAATTATTTTGACGCGTCTACATTAAATGTTAAATATTTACTTATTGTCATAAAGTTTCTATTATAAACAACAACATATTACTACTTTTTAATATTTCAAATTGTTTCTAATTAATTAAGTGAAAAATCCCCAGAAGCACAATAGATCGTAATATGTTCTGGTGCGATATGAAATAGGAATGCGGTTATGGGAAGAAAAAACAAACTATTCAAATGAATGTGCATGGAATGTAGCGAGGAAAGCTATAAGCTTACTTTTCTCGTTGACGTGACAACGAGTGAGTTGTAAAAAGATAGATCCCAGAGAATACTTAATTATATGTTAAATTAACAAAGAATTAACAATGATGTTGATTTTCATATGATTTTATGTATGAATGCCGTTGGAGGCCTTGGGATAAAAAATATCTGATTTCTTGCATCGAATTTAAATTGATAATATTAGAACAAGGATAAAGCACTTGGCGAATGATTATCAATACGTATATGAGTAATTTGAAATCCGTTGTTACGGGATTGAAACGGAAATTAAGTTCGCAGGTCTACCAACCACTAATCACTTAATCACCGTTAAAACAAATTAATTATTTCACACAGCCGTAAATGCAATTTGCTTCTACTATCCTTTATAAATCATAGCGCATAAAACCGCTTAGAATATATTGATTGGTAGTTAAAACGTTGTATGATAGTAATATTAATATTAAGGACTATTGCCGTATTAAGAAATTTCAAATTATTATCAACTTCTTCGCATATATTGCGATATAAATATTTCATATATAAATATTTGATAGAAATACAAATAGATTTCCCCTTTGAATTAATGAAGCTTGCGATGTGACCATGAAAATGACCATGTTCAAATACGAGGACTATAATTAAGGACAAAGAGCGGATTCTCGCATAGGTGAAAATGCTCGATTCAACAGTTATTCGAGAACTTGTTTCTGAAATGGCTATTTAGTAAAAATTTGGTTTATAGTCATGTGTGGTAAACAGACGTTATGAGCGGTTAAGTAGAACTATCTTTTCCAAAATTGAAGTAGGTTTTTTTTTGTCTTGAATTACATTTAATGGCCAGACATAATAGATAACCGCGTTAAATTATTTGATTATCCAGTTTTTTTTTGTACAATTAAATGCAAAAAGGTTATTTTGTAGTCGATAAACATTTTCCGTCGTATACTTTTCAAATATCAATGACATATAAATAAAAAGTGCGCAAAGTTGGTACGCAATAGTCGATGTCATTTTCTAAATTTAAATTAGTTGTTATTGGATGTCAATGCGTATCTTATTTTGTTGACCACCCGTTTACGTAACTCGCTTAGCCGATGTTGAATGAAAAGTAATAAATGCACGGGACTTCATGGAATTCAAGGCTAAATGCATGCATTCCCCATCATTCCGCCGCGCTCGACTCATTGCTGTTTATCGCATGACTGTCATATAACTATTATTATATTATTAAACTGCGTGTTTCCTGCGGCGACAGCAGGGAAAAGCTATACTCCGGCAAAATGGTTGAGGTCTTTGTCTCTGTAATGTTTTACCTAATCGCAGCGCAATAGTGGAGGCTCTCGATTGGGAAGAATCTGGTGATCTTCTTGTGGTTCTCATCGACGTTTTCGAGCAGTATGCCGTTGGACCAGACACTCAGCCAGCTATCGATCCCTCTGGCCCCGGTCGCTCCTTGATCTGGATACAGTTCTTGCAAAGGCTCCTGGATTCCTTGCAGTCCATCTTTGGTTTGTTGCGGTACGGAGCTGCCCAAATACAGAACCCTGCAGCGGCAAATCGGTGTCGACTCTGACATGATTGCACCTAATTATCCTTTCGCAATTAATTTATCGAGGTTCTTCTATATCGCTTTCTGTCTGTCTTTTGGAGTCCAAGTCTCTCCGGTTAGATGAATGCAGTCGGTGTTGGTATCAAGAATTTGTCATTTTGGCGCGATCTCCTGGAAAAGAGCAGAAGGAAATAAATTAGAACCGTTACAATTCCACCATTGCCAACATAATTGCAATCGACGACGCATCGAGCCTAATACTAACGAGTGCGAGAACAATAGGTGGATCTCTTGCGCGCCGGAGGTAAATGATCTGGCAATATACAGGATGTCTAATTTTCATTGTATGGAAAAGCCCACAAAAAAAGATTTTTTTAAATAAATCCGCCTTTCTAATTAGCAACGTCGCCTTATTATACACATTCGATTGTTATTCCACGGCCAATCGTGATGCTCAAGAATGCAAGACAACTTTTACACACGTAATTTCAACATTGCGATGCTTCACATTCCTCGTAGCTTTTATTTCATTTTTTTTTTCGTTTGATTTTGGCTCGCGCCTAAAGTTATGTCAAATGAAAAAAAAACATTATACTATTCGTGCACCGTCGTTAGTTCTGTTGCAACAAGGTGAGAGTTGTACAAACTTCAATTTATTGTTAGAAATTTCGAAATCAAATAGTATTTTCATTTGTTCTAATGGAAATTTATAATATGCACTGTTAAAACCGCTAAAACACAAGTTTCGAATGCATTGAAATTGATGGAAACGCATTTTTTTGCTATATTGCATTACTTTCATTGTGGTAACTAAATAATTTACCTCAATAATATTATGGTTGGTTTAATATGCGAATTCTGGTAATACTAGACACAAATATGAATAATAAACTTGTAAAACTTAAGGTCGAAAGAAAATAATTAATCTTCTGAAAAAGTCTTGTTTTACAGCAAAATTAAGTTACATTTCATGATTTATATAATTATTATTAATAAATTATATAAATAATTAATAAAATAAAACCAAATTGACATGTTGGAAAGGCCTATCGACAATTGGTTAGGACAGAAAGACCAATTGTCGATAGGCAATTTAAAATTAATTACAGAAAATATTTTACTTATATTATTTAAACTCTTTGATATAAATTTTGGTCAATTAAAATGATTATATAAATATTTCGGAAATATTGATATTAAATTCTAATTGGAACAAAACTGATTAATATGTAATTTGATCGTTGTAATTAAATATATTTTGCAATTTTTGAGTAATTGCAGTTTGTTAAGTTTATTGTTGCAATTAAATAAAAACTATTGACAAACCTGTATATATATTCTTATAGCAAACAAGAATCAAGTGATAAACTCAATTGCTTAAGCATCAAATGTTATGCTCAACGAATTCAATGAAATAAAGTTTTCAAGTGTATTCAAATATTACAAAATTTACTGTGTATACATAGTATTTTTTATAGTACTGCAACATATTGAACCTATTGACATTTTTTTTTATATATTAATATAATCAGAGGCCAAGTGTATCATTACTATTATTTATAATTCTAAACAATTACTAGGTAATCCACAGAATTCCTAAAAGTACTAGGTAATTTTTAATAATTTTATATCATACTGAGATATTAGCAAAGTGAATAAAGTTAATCTACTGATCTATAATGAAGAAATAAATTATAACATAAAGGGTCTTTTGCTAATCTTTTTTGTTAATCTTTTTTGTTTTATTATTATAACAATATGAAAATGTTAATATATTTTGACTGTTACAATAAAGAATTACAAAATAAACGACAAAATATCATAAAAAGTTATATGATTTTCTTATAAATTAGATATAAGTAGTAAATTATTGTACGAAATTATATGTAATATTATTATTACGATTAATATACGAATTGCGACAAGAGAAATTTCAGTATTTAATTATTTAATTTAAAAAGCAAATATATATTTTTTATAATTATCGTAATATAAAATGAAAAAAGAAAATATGTAATGTAAGAAAGACGAATGACGGAAATTCGGTCTTCCATTATTTTCTTTCGTGAGCAATTAGAAAACATATTTATGTAGAAACTAATGAACGTCGGATTTCCAATGTTAATCATTCGACATATTGCATTCAATCCCCTCCACACGTCGCACACACACATTATGCTAATCATTGCAAAGAGAAAGACAGATTGCTAATCACTTCGTTTATTTATTTTGTTGTATGCATTGCACGAATTCCATGGTAATGCACCAACCTGTGGGTTTTTGTGCATAAATGCACTATTATTACGTCCGGTGGAATTTTCAGATAAAAAACAAACATGACGATTCATGTTTGCAACTATCCGCATATCGCGGTATGCGGTATCATAATCACTATTTATAAAACAGTGATCTTCTCAGTGAATCTTTGTACAATTTGCATCTTTTAGTCATCTTAACTGCAGCCGATGAATGGTAAAATACAAATTATTGCTCATGTTTTGTTTATAATATGCAATTTCTGGAATTATGTAAAGAACGTTAACAAACTTAATGTTCTTTACGACAGCCATTTTGACGTAGTTTATAAATGCACGATTCAGTTGAACTCACTGTTGCGGCAGAATGTAGCATATGAACGATTATAGAAATGTATATTTGTATGCCCTACAGGTTCATTTTTCAGAATAATTGCAATGTACAATTATATTATTTACATTAAATTACATTTCTATAATTAATATTTTGATATTTCATAAATATTTTAGTATGGATTATTAAATTTTATAGGAAAATAGTCATGACTCTTTCTTAGTTATAATAACCATAAAAAATCAGATTTTCGGATTGGTTAAACCTACTAGTTTCTTAAGAGATCTAGCAACCGTTTCTTTTCAACATAATGTAATTTAATTAATAGTAGTTCATATATATTCCCAAGAAGTTGCATTTACTATTATTCTCTATAAATAAATATATTTATTTTTTCTGTTATTCCATTGAAATTGCAATGGAATTATGTTTTATCGCCGCTGTATATATGCAGGTATATGAACGTTTCCTTTCCTATGTTAATGATGGGAACATTACTTGGAGACCACTGCATACAGAAGCATTTGTACGTAGAAGCATATTGTGGATATTTAATTTGGTTTCTGTGTTCAAATGGTTAATGATATCCAATTATGTGTGTAAAAAAGGAATGGGACTGAATTGTATTCTTAACCGCTTCCATGCATTTTCTAAATTCACATCAGATCTTTTGTGATCTGGTGAAACAAACCGAGTAATTGTGAATCCATTCTGCACTCAATATAACTGGAATTAAAACATACGATACTTTACACACTTAAAATTTGCGATGCTTTTGATTTTATTCCTCTAATCAATTTGGTTTCTTTTCAAAATATTCATATGATCCTATTACCCAATTATTTGCGTAACTCTTCACTATAAGTATTGTATTTTACTTGTCTAAATAAACATATTGATAATTACACTAACACTTTTTTTTTCATTTATTATTTAATCCTATATATATAATAAAATAAAAACTTTGTTTTGTTTGAAAAATACATTTAGCATTTGGGTTTTAGAGCATCTAGATCAATAGGTTTAGTTACTAGGAATACTTGTTGAAATGCATTTTTAAACGTTTAAGGCCTATTTTATTCATTCTTTTGGTACATATTGATCCTAGGAATGAATTTTGTATCAATAATTTGAATAAATTTAAAGTATAGACAACGCAGCATACAAAATGCGATGTTGCAAGCTGATACATGCAGCATATATATAAATGATTAGTAATAAATGGTATAGGTAATATATGGACTCTAGTAAATAAAAACTGTTATCCGGTACAGAAAGACATTCGCTAGCTCATATATTACTTTGCATTCAATCTACGGACGTTTAATATTCATGTATCTCTTTTAAAACAAAGAAAATAATTTTTATACTCGTTGTCTTTTTTCTTCCTTTCATTCTGTATTAATTCAGTGTCTTAGTATTTAATGATTGAAATCCGAAGTTTGACGTAGCGTAACGTATCATTAGCATGTAACAACGTACTGGTACGAGGATATTACTGCTTGGAAGTTTCTTTTCATTCAATTACTGTTTCTTTTTCGCATATAATATCTGACCAACCTTGTTTCAAACTTCCTATTTTGTACACACATATTTCTAATTATTAATTGCTATTGTTTACCTGTTAATGTATACGATCGCTTCCTTATTGTAGGTAAATATTGTATTTCTTGTAATCAAATGGAGAGTTTGAAGTCAGCAACGCAGCGGCAGCAGCAACAGCAAGCGAGGCAACACACAAACCAAACACACCTATTCTACCACATTCCTTTTAAAATTCCAATCCAACACAGAACGATTGATTCGCACACTTATAAGGCACATGAAAACCCGAAGTCCCTAAGTGTTTTAAGTATCGGATCCGCTGTGTTCCGATGGCACGGGTCTAAGATTACACTGATTCTTTGAAGGGTAGCGAACAGGTGGGAAAGCCAAAGGCTAATAGACGGTGATCGAGAAAAAAAAATGGAATAAAAAAAACACACACAACACGAACTACACACGAAAAAGCACCGTTTTCGCGTGATACAGTATATATAAATCGTACTCTTTGGAGACTTGAATGCTCGGAGGTTACCTCCACGTAGTTGAACAGGTAAACGGGGCGTAAGTGAGTGGGGGACCTGAATGCGCAGGTAAAAACTGACACAGGTGGGCTCCAAGATTTAAACGCAAGAATAGCAAGAATTCCCTTCCTTTTCTCGTGTAGCTCTTCTATTCCATGGTTTTTATGATCGGTCAGTATATGAATTACCCGATTTGGGGTTCTTGCCTTTCGGGTACATCCATTCAATATGAATCCTCCTCTGGCTTAGTCAGAGAAGGCGCGAGGACGAAGTTTCTCTTGGCCCGAGTACACGGAGGCATTCACTGCTCTCTTACCTAACTTGACCTCTCAGAGAGGAAAGACCACAACCAGCACTGAAAACTACCTCGATGTCAGTCGGAACCCATCTAAAAAGGTTAATTAAATAGAAAGATTGCTATTACATACACGAACTTATAATTATTTGATGCATATTACTTTTTAAAGCATCCACGTCAAATCTTTAACAATTAAGATAAACAGATTTCAATTTTTGGTAATGTGAGACAAAATTGTGACAAAATCATCTTTAAGCTCATCTCTGTACTTTTTATTTATCATAATATTAAATAACCTTTTTTAATTTATTATTTTTCGATTAATACATGTAAACCTCAAGACATCGTATAATATTAATGTCTTCGAATTTGTATGCTTATTACGCGAAAATCGCTAATAGCTCATACTATTTTCTGTAGTTTATTTTTTAAAGTCCATATTCAATATGTATTTAGAATGTATAAGTAATTAAGTAAAACGTGAGTAAATGTTAAAAAAAGTATTTAAAAAAGGGAAGACCCCGCACTTTTTCAGAAAACTAATATAGTTTCAAGAATTTTGTTGTGGATCAACTAATAAATAAAATATTATATATTATGATGCAGATTTTTTTTATTATTATACCAAAAACTTTAGGAGTGGCTCTCAATATTTTCAGGTGGGTAACTATGTTTCTTGCTGCAAAAAGTCTAGCATCAAAATTACTGATAGTATTTTTCAAACATATTAAAAAAAAACACTTTATTTCAATAGATCTGGTAGATCACGATAACTTTTTAATTAGAAAATTGGGTCGCGATCATTTTTTAGTAAGTCTGTACTTTTGTTCAAATAATGAATATAACTATTCAAATATAATAATAAAAATCTTTATTAGTCACCAATTGTAACCAAAGGGAATTTAAATATATAAATCCATGAGATTAAAAAATAAATTATCTAGTAACTATTTACAAACCTACAGTAAACCATATAAGAATTTATAATTGCAGGAATATTTTTTGTAATTTCACTAACTGTTGTTTCATGTATTTCTGTAACTGATGTTTTTGTATATCCTCCTTATACACGTGGGGATAAATTTGTTTTTCATTTTCATAATTAATGCATATATTCTCGGAGGAGAAAATAAAACGAAGTTGCAGTGAAATATATATATTGGAAAATATTGATTAAAACAATCATGTTTTTGAATCATGACTAATATTTATTAAAACAAATATAGTGTTTATTACAGATGTTCCATCTTGTCCTCTTCATTTATAAGGAAGGTTTTTACTTTCGTTTTGGCATACATCAGAGTTTCTAGAATCGGACAATTGTAGAGTAAACCTTAAAACTATTTAATATACAATATATTTGTTAAATAGAATTTTTGGAATCGGAAAATTTTAGAGTAAACACTGGAACCATTTAATATTGAATATCTTTGTCAAATAGTTTCTGGAATCGGAAAATTGTAGAAAACCCTAGATTCCAAATTCTTGAAACAGTGGTGAACAAAGACATTCAATATTAAATGGCTCTCCTTTGATACAATAGCACAATATTTACATTCATTTGAAACTAACTTAAATGCTTCAAAATTAAGTAACGATTCAATAAGTTGTAAGTTATTTTAATTATAATAATAATTTTTTTTAATCAACTCCAATAAACCTCTAATAATAATCTACTTGTAATATTACAATGATGTGAATTGTGTTTTTATTTATTAATTTTTTTATACTTAAGTATAAAATAATTGACTGCAATAATTAAATAATAAACTTTTTTTAAAGTTTGTTCGATATGCCTCCAGATATACAAGTCTATTTAACTAGTTTTAGTGCGCCACGATTCAAATATAAAAGGTAAGAAATGGCGCGTATGGTAACTGAGAGGAGTGGAATGTAAACAAATCATAAGAAAATAAAACATTTAAATATGTGCTAATTAGAATAGATACTTCTTTTTGATCGTAGCTTAATAAACAATATCATTAATAATAATTTTATTATCATTAATAGTAATTTTAATTCATTTTTGTCACAAATAAACATAGTGGGAGTCTCAACAAAATTATTAAAACATTATAAATATTAACATGCACGATAATTAATCTGGTCATATACATGATACATATTTATTTGTATCATAGGACATATATATTACTCACAATCGACGATTCAATTTATTTCTTTTTTGACAAGAGAAAAGACGAAATCAATTTACAACAAGCACAGTTGCATAATTGCCACGGACCGAATAAAAGAAATGATGAGTAATTACTAATTATGGTATGTGTAATATGACCTTTACAGTTTTGTAATTTGCATACGTAAAGTAGCGTTTGCAAAATGTACATCGCTCGAATAAATGCGTAAGATATTGTTTGCGTATGTTTTGGTTTGATTAAATTAGTCTTTACTCGTTTATATCCATTCTATTAACTACATAATATAAACATTCCAATGTTAAGGTATTTATGTCGATGACGTTTCGAATATATTATATTACCGCGCACGGTTGGTTGCCTATCTTGTCTAATTTGAATAATTGTCTATTATTAGGACAAAAAGGTTTAAAATCTAGAAAACAAAAATAGAACATTGAGAGGCTAAATATATAAAAAAAAAAGTTTATTATAAACTTTTCAAATCGGGCTATAGTGAATTTGGGCTGATTGATGAATATAATATAAATATAGAAGATATGACAATATGCCTTGTTACTTTAGTATAATCAGTGTATTCAAATAATTATACATAGGGCAGAAAGACTTATGGTCACTAGCCATTGATTATATTATTGTTTGAATAATAATCATTATTAATTCTACTTTATAAACATATCCAAGAGTTTTGTAAATCCAATTTCACAAATTCAATTTTCAATATTTCTAGTCAAATACAATCTGTTATGTCTTTACGTTACGTTTCATTATTTAATCAATAAAGTTAAAACTAAAGATTTGGTATACAGTGAATAAATATTTATGAACAGGCTTTTATGAAGGATTATTTCTGAAAGTGGTGGTTGTAAAAACATACATACATTTACTTCATGTTACTTTAGCGACTAAAGATATTAGAAATAATAATGTATACTAATTACATTACTAATTTTAAATAAAGAAATGCTAACAAAAAAAAAGATTCAACAGTAAAAGTGACTCTATACTTATATCAATTGAAAATATAATCAATTCAATTACTTTGCATACATTCTGTATTATGTTTTATTGTACCCAACACTGTCCCGAGAATTGCGATTTCTTGTGTTCAGTATGGAATGCAGAAATTGTACTATAATTGATCACAACAGCTCATACTCATAATTATGCTAAAATAGCCAGAACAAATGAAGTGGATTGCGTAATTGCATGCATTGCATAAGGAACTTGTACGAACCGTTAAACGCATAGTTGTTTTTTTTTATAAATAGCGTTATATGATCCGCACTTTTATTTAAATCGCGTTGTTATTAATTTTTCAAAATTACGTTCATGTGTAAATTGATTTTATTTATTTTTTTATACATTTAACTGTATTAGGATTACAGATGTTCTTTCTGGAACCGAATGATTTCCTCGCGTCTTCGATGTCATCTCTGCTGCCAATGAATCTAGGACTAATACTCGGAATAGCCTTCATGTACATGTTTAAAGTATATACAAATGGTGTTCCTGTTGGTAATTGGTAATTGGATATGAGAACATCTGGGACATCTTCGATGTGTTTAATGATTGCTCTTAAACTGTTATGATGTGCTACAAGTAATATGTTCTTGCCTTGCTTTAAGTTTGGTACGATCTGATCGTACCAAAGTGGTAGAACCCGTTGCGTTGTCATTTTCAGAGATTCGCATCGGGGAAAATCGTCTATATCTAAATCCTGATCGTATCTATTGTCATTAACTATGCACTCGTAAAATGGATTTGTCGTCTTTATTGGAGGTGGAATTGCTTTGAAACTTCTCCTCCAAAGTTGAACCTGCTTTTTACCATAGATTTTTCGAAGATCTTCCTTACTCTTTCCTGTCAAATCGCCGTAATGTCTCTCGTTCAATCGCCAGTGAGAAATAGTTTTCATAGTTTTCTGGAATGTCTGGCACTTGATTAATTGTAGGGTCTCTGTAGCCCTGCTCAGTTTGGATGTATACGCAATATCGAATTTGAATTCATTCTTTAGAGCTTTGCCTGCTTTTCTTGCTTCACATTTGCCAATATCTGTCAGTTGGGAGTCATACCAACCGGTGAACAGTCGTTGCTCGTTCCATTCCGATTGACCGTGCCTGACGAAGACAATTTTGTATGTCGGAGCCGTGCGAAACGTGGCTAATGATCGATAGAACATTCTTTACTTTTAACAATTTACATATTTGTTATTATTTATTTTGAGTGACGTTACTTGATAGATTTATTGGTAGAAGTCATTTATTGAAAAACTTGGTAGGGTGTTCAGATATAATTATATTAAAATGATTAAAAATATTTACAAAATATGCACAAAATATTGGTTAAATATTTAAATGTTCATAGTACTTGTATAGTGTTGTAGGCGCTGAAGGTAACTTTTTTATTCCTAGTGCGCTGTGGTTTAGCGTCGTCCTTCTTGATGACACTCTTCAAGGTGGCTTGACCTAGCTTCGTGGTTAAATGTGACAGATTGCCATAGCGTTGCTCATCTGGGTCATAGTTCGATTGCAAAGATGGTAAGTCTTTGAGTTTGGAACTCATACCAAAGAGACGATTGGAGATATTGGAGCGAGGTGGCTGGTGTGGTGGTTTGTAGCAAGGTGGTTGATATGATAAGGTTGTATCTATGTATCGGTAAGCCATTGGTGTAGGTGGTTTTTTCATTAATCTGGGCATAGAGTGCGTCCAGAAACTAGGTAGTTTCGGTGGTGGAACCAATGGAACTTTCGGTACCGTAACACGAATGAATTGTCCCTTGAAAATGTTCGTTGGTGGTTGAGGAGCAGGACCTTTTCTGCGTCTCCGCCTTTCCGGAGGTTTTGGAGGTCGTGCGTCTAAGAGATTCTCGGCCGAGCTCCAGATTTTCTTCAGTGGCGCTTCATCATCCGCATCGAGCAAATTCTCCGAAGACTGGGATTTCTTAATGAACGTCTCGGGGGCGTTTATACTGATAATGGAGGTGGGTTCCTCCAAGTAATCTTCCAGGGGATAGTTGGGGCGCGTAATCTCTATATGCGTGATGCCGTTGGAGTCAGTTCTCTGGAGGAGATTAAAATTATTATTTAGTCCTGTGCAGTAGGCTCGCTGGTTGGAGACTGCTTTCACTGTGCTGAAATTTGCGTGGAACGCTTGGAGTTCATCCAGGTTTCCAAATTTAAATACTAGAGTTTCGTTGACGATCACGAAAACTAAGATATCTGGATATTTTATGTCCGTGTAGCAGACACAATTGACTAGATTAAACGTTTCCGATCGGGGTGTGCCATTGATGACCTCCCCGTCATCCGAGTCTGAACATGCAGAGCCGTTAGCGCTGTCGGTTTCGCGACCTTTTGCTTGATATTCTTCATCATTAGACACTAACGAGATGGAATCTATATCTGATTCAAATCCCTCGTCCGTCTGGGTGCTTCCCGGTTTAACCAATTTGAGGACCAGCTGACTATTCTTGATCTCGATCGCATACAGTGCCAGATTCTGGACATTGACTCGATGATGCGCTTCTTCTACCACGGCCTTCAGGGATCTGCTTGAGGATGATTCCCGATGCACCAACGTCGCCGACGTCATCCTTATTTTGCATTATCTGAAATTAAATAATTAAATTTAGTAATGATAATTTCAGCACATAAAATTAGAAATAAGAAAATAACGAAATGAAGTAATGAACATTAAAAATCGGTATTATTTCTAATATTGAACAAAAATTGTATTGACTTAAATTAAAATTTACATATATTATATTTATGTGTCGCTATATACAGAGTTGTAATGACTGGTTAAAAATATTTTGTATTCTATTTGAAGCACGCTTAACTCTTACATAAAACGAAACCAGCTCAGTTCGGGTGTGCAAGAAATAAGTAAATGAGCAAACGCAACCGACGTTGATAACGTTTCCAGGCCACGTTCGATGCTGATGAAAAAGAAGAACATGCATGCATTCATGTATGTAAGCGATGTAATGTAAGATGTCTGAGTCGGCGGAGGAGGAGGTGGAAAAATTGATTTGCTTAACAAATTTTGTGGATCTAGTGCAGAAATTCCATTTCACGTTAACTAAGTGGTCCGATGAATATTTGAATAATCCGTGAATTGGCATTCGTTTCTGCAAACGGAAACGCGCACACCCACAATTTTTGTAACCCAGAAACCGACCTTTTGTCCCACCATTTCTCTATAATTATTCATTATTTATAATTTTGCAAACCGGATTATAAACAGCAATATATATATATATATTTATTATTGACATTTAACTCAACTTCAATGTTCATCAGTTTCACAGTTTTATGTATTTACAGCAGGGTCAAGTATTTGGACAAGGTTCTTCAATATAATCAACTTTTCTTTGGAACATTTCTGCATTGCGATCTGATTTATTTCATGGCGAACGATTATTGCAATCTGCTGTATGTAGTTTTCCTTATTTCCCATATTTATTTCACTGGTAACAATAAGTCATGCTCTATATAAAAAATAATGTATTTCCAATGATTGAAGACAGTCTAATTCACAATTTTATATTTACAGAAAAATTAGATATGCAAATCCTAGATGTTACTCTTTACCTTTCTCTGTCTTTGTTATGGTAATATGCAACATAGACGGATCAAATTTACGTTTACATTTACTTTGTTGGAATGATAATTGATATCGCAAACCCTCCATCGCCGTTTTCAATTATTAATAATTAAAGCACATGATTAGTTTAAATATAAATTAAGAATACAGAAAAACTAAATTTATAAATTATTGAGAAAATAAATGCACATTTTATACATGAATAATGTGTGCTTCGCTCCTTTTTCTCTGTGTGTCTAGTTGAGCACTATGCATTTTAATATGTTTATGACTGCAGCGAAACAATGAGCGTTTCTTTTTAAGTAAAGTATAAAAAAAAGAGTACAAGACCGAGAGCAGGTTTAGTGGAAGTGGGTAAAAAGGTTGTCGGAGTCGTCTCAACCTACTTCCTCGGTGTCGGAATTGAAGGTTCATCTGACCATAACTTACATAAGAAAAATTGCTAGGAAGTCGCACTATATGTGATACCTTGTACAAGTCTATCGAATAATTAATATTTATATTCATTTGTTAATATACATATTTAATAGTATTCATGGTATTTTCTTTCTTTTAAAATAAATTTGTGCAACCATTGCATCCATGGACGGACCGCGCCTGCTGAACAACTATTAGTAAGTATTAAGAGGTATTAGAATAATGGAATTTATGCGTTTCGTTTCGACAAATTGAAGTGAATGAAGCGACGAAACCTATTGACTAAATTCGATTTATAATAGCTTCTGGTCGTCCAAACATATAATTTGTCCCTGGCATTTTGTTTAGCGTCTCTCAATGTCACAAGTCAATTCCTCTTCATTTCTGTCTGAACCAAAGCGATTCCTAAAACGTTTTTAAAACGACAAATGATTAATTAGTGCTGATAACAAGTTTTTTTTTATTACTTTTAGTTTTAAAAATACATTTAGAAAACAAAATTATAATGATTAAACTACATTATCATAAATATTTTTTTATAGTTGTTAGCAGTTTTCTGTTAATTGCAAATGAAAATGATTTAAGATTTTACAAAACGGACTATCTCCTTAAATAAGATCAATTTTATAACAAATCGTCATTTTTAAAAAAAATTAAAACGACCAAGTTTTATTGTAGCCTATATTTTGGATTTTAATTTAGAGCACGTGGCACCCAATTATCAAGTTTTTTTTTTAATAATTTAACAAACGCTTTCAGTTCGACTATTATCAACTAAAGGTGGATTATTATCTGCAAGGTATCATCCGTTGTAAAATACAAAAAAAAACCTTTTCTTGTTTATTTTCAATTAACAAAATTAATAAAACCAACATTAATTTTATACAAATACAGACACTTTCTATCAAATAATCTTAAGATAAACACAATGTAATTAAACTTATATTGCAAATGAAGTAAAGAGTACCCAAAATTATTTGAATCTGCATTCCAATAATAATAATAATTGCACTATAAATATTTTAAGAAATAAGTACAATTTAACTGTTCTACGTAAATGAATAAAGCAACATGCAAATATTGTCATTGATATTTCCTTGATTCCAATATACTGAAACTGATGTATTTCTTTTACGTTTCCTTAAATATTTTTTATCCATCTAAGCCGTCATGCAGTGAGAAAATCAACTTCGACAATTAGATACAAGTATGTGAGAGAATATAATAAAAGATCACGAAGACCGCTGGTTCTGTCGATTCCTCGAGAAATAGAAGCACATCTATTTTCAAAGGTTGGTTGCTTTATGCAATTAAACAAATCATTCGATAGCGCTCTTTTTAATTACTTAACTGTACGAAGAGAAGAATCTCTCATAACTGCATAATAAAGAAATTTATAAAAAAAAAGAACTTGACGAATCTATTTGATGCCACATTATAATTTAGAACTTATTTTTATCTGCACTATTTATATATTGTTTAACCATGTTATATTTTTCATAATTAACTTTTTCTGCTTTCTGTGGGTACGAAGAATGTGTAAAAAATAATTTATAAAAATGGTAAGCAGCAGTCTTTGATCGTAGTGAATTGTCATCGTTTTTACTTTTTAATTGCGCGAGAAGGTAATTGTGGCAAAATTTCATACTCAAATAATCATATATGGGGATGGGAGAAAGTATAACAATAGTTTTTCGTAATTATATGCAAATAATGAAGCAATCCTCATTTGGCTCTGTTGTAATTTTAATTTAAGAACCAGGAAGACAAGACGATTAATTAACTATATTTGTTTTAATAGTACTATACTTAAATATATGTTTTTATATTTTTAAGAATAACAAGTTTTAATATGACCATTATATATAATACAATAACTTTAAACTTAAATCCATAATCATGTATAACTTTTAATTATGCGATATATCTGTTATATATGTGAAAACAATAAACTGAGAATTAGAAATCAAAACTGATGTCAAGTGAAAAGTCATTAAAGGTAAATTTACAAAATTTGTTGTTAAAAGTGGGAAGTGTATTATTTGATTTGTAGAAATTCAGTCAATAATTTCATTCAAAAATTGTAAATTTCAAATATGTTTATGCTCTATAAATGTTCTCTCCTAACAAACGTGAAATTAAAAAAGCAACCAAATTAGTTTTCTCTTATTAGCAAAATTCATTAATCAACTAATTAGAGCCGCGCATTTTGACTAATAACTAGGTACGACCAATGATTTCTAATATATTTGAACATAATAAAAAAGTACTTATGCACAACAAAATCTTAGTTCATATTAATGTTATTGTATAAAACATGTTAATTTGTGAATAATCTACAGTAAAATCTTTATGTAATTATAGTAGAAAAAAGTTTTATGTACTTTTATATTTCTTATTATTATAGTACACTTTCTATATTACACATTTTATTTTAAATGTAATTATAAAGGTGATACCTTTTAAATTTTAAATTAAATTATTTCATATAATAAGTGGAAATATCATAACAACAATTCATGTTTTTTTTTTTAAATTAATCATTACAAATTTTAAAAAACAACTTAAAGTGTTTTTTTTTTCATTAAGTCAGAATATAAATAATATATTTTTGAAATGTTGCCGAAATTTCAACAGGTGAGGCCTCGAGATGTGCTATAAATTTATACACTTATATAGAATATGCTAACAACCTATTCGACATTGAGTAAAAAACCCTGACTGGTGAATGTATATATTGTACAAAGTAATCACAGCATCGAACTGAAATTATATAATAATTGAAAAAAAATATCGAACTAATGTGATAATTATATTATTTCCATCAATCCTACGATTCCCAAAATGCTCCAACAGTATTTATTTTTTATAGGAAATTATATACAAAAGTTTATATATACTACGTATTCAGATTCAATATCAATTATTATGCAATGAAAACTAAATAAAAAAAACATTGTCAACTCATTAACGTAATGTCTTATTCAAAATAGAATAATAAATTTACATAAATGTAGCAAAAGGGTCGTTAATTAATTTCTTTTTTGTACATTTTTAATGTTTATTTTGTTAATTTTATATAAATTCATTTTTATAAATATTCCGGAGTAAATATGTTTAGTAGATCGTAAATATGAAATATTTAAATTTATTATTTACTATTAAATAACAATATAGTAATTTGCTTAAGGCAATGATAATAATTAAATAAATGGGTATATGTAGAAGCATAAGTATCGTATATGAATATAACGTCAATCAACCGTAATGAGCGAGCGAACTTTCGAAAAAGCGAGTAAACATAGTCGTACGTACATCTCTTTGCATCTATATGAGACTGTCCAAAGCATAAACGATGTAAGAAATAGTTTAAACATTTCATTAGCGCCTTTCAAAAACAGCACTGAAAGACAAAGACGACCAAATCGCAGCCATGTGAATTAGTGGCAAACAAAGCACAACAAGGAGGTACGAGATGGCGACAAAATAATTCCCAAGATTTCTTCGAGTTTTGATTCGAAGAGAAAGATGTCTTCTTCTCATTCCTCACACCTAGAGAAAGTTCCCAGATCTCTTCTCGGGGATGGCCCCGAGCTAAACCGTTGTTAATCGACAAATTAATTTATGTACGTACGAACACTCACATATACATACTCTCTCACACACACACACATACACACAAATCTTGTCAGGCACGTGAGTTTGCAAAGAACCTCAATAAGGATCGTTCAACTTTCAAAAGTTTCTAATTTTTCTCTGCGCTTATAATAAATTCTTTCTAAGAAGAATCTCTCTGCATTTCAATTTCGCTTTTATTTATCTCTATTTTCCTCTCGTACTGCTTACAATGTTATTACCATATTTGTATCTATTGGTAAATTAAAGAAATCATCAAACCAGAAAATTATATTAAAATTATTTGTATTTGAATTTCAAATTTTCTTTTCCCGCCTATGAAAAGCGGAAGGGTTTCCTGTTTGAGGCGATGAGGGTGATCGTGTACCGGAATTCCGTTGGGAATGACGAATAATTGTCGGATCCCATGACAATATGCGACATTAAATTAACATCATTTCTAATGAATTTGATAGCTGCTTTTTATATCAATCCTGTGAGCCTCACGAGCAACTTATATAACGTATTTCGATCGACTTAACTATAATGGAATTTTATTTCCGAAATTCCGAAGCCAGTATGATGTTCACTTTCATAAGAACCAAATGTAATGCGTTATATAAAATATTTTTATTATTTTTTGAAAATAAAATTTAATCATTAAAAATTCGATTTCGTAAATTGTGCTAAAATTTTGTATTTTGTATTTATTACTACTATCCTACGATTTTTTTTAAATATTTTGTTTTGTTGGGCATCGAACCTGCAAATTGTGATTACTATTATCACAATTTGATAAAGTTTTTAAAGAAAGTACCATTAAAATATAATGTAATAAACTTTAAATGAATAAATGAGATGTATTTAATTTAAAATAAAAGGTATCATATTTTTTCTTTTCTGATGTGTAATTTATATTTCAATTATTTTTAATATTAACGTTTTTTCTTCTGGAAGAGAAAATAATTTAACAATTATATACATTTTTAAATAAACTGAAAAAAATCATTTTATAATGTACGTGTAAACCAAAATGACATATTTATAAAAAAAATGTACATGTTAATGAGTAAATCAATAAACTAATTAAATAGTAGACGATAATTGGTGTATGACACATTTGTTATTGGAAGATATAGAAACGATTTCTATATATTATATGTTTTTCAGCGCGTTATAAAAATTATAAATGAGAAGATCGAGAGTCACATAGGATGTATTGAATGAGACGAGGAGGCTTGAAGAAACGGTAATAAATAGAAATTGGACGCCGCCACTTTCATTTTTATGAGTCCATTCACTTGAGTATCAAAATTCAATGCAGAATTAATAATATACATTCGGAGGAAAGAACAAGGATGTAGAAAGGCTTACCCTTGTTTAGAAAAAATATAATCCATGTATGCAATTGTCCCACCGAACATGGCACACTTAAAAATCACTATCAAAACCCTATTTGATGGCCTCCTGGATCCTCTATCCAGATGAATCTTTAACGTCGACGAGGGTGGATCTAATCTTGGAGACCACTAGACCTGGAGACTCAGATGATAGCGATTAAAATGACGTCCGGTGGTTAGCCTGCTAAGGAAATTCTATGTTTGGTTGCAATCTGAATGTGTTCTCGGGCCGGTTTATGCACCTGTCTTGTAGAAAGCAACGCTACTAACTGAAAAGGTGAGGAGACTCATCTGTTTGTTGGGAGCGAGTGAGTACAAGTAGAGAAGTGGGAACGAAACGGCTGGTTCTGGTATGTTGAGCTCGTTCACAGGTGAATGGAAATACACACATACACAAACATTCCCATAATGATGATGGCAGAACCAGCAACAAGGTTTTGGATTGGTAGTACCTACGACGTATACAATAATTATAATATCTTTGAAAAATTGTCTTTTTATTTGGCTTATAAAAAACGTACTTTTGTTAGTACTTTTCTTGTGAAGATAAATTATTAGGGCTGGAAAATTTGGACCGGCGCCTATTACTAAATACAAATTTTCTATTTTAAGAAACAATAGAAACAAGCTGAACATCTCTGTTGGTATTTTAATTAAAATAACGTTAATGAATTTTCTATGATTGATGCAGATACAAATATTATATTTTTTAAATCATACTTACGAAAACTGAAATTTTTGTAATTTGCCTGATGACACATATTAAAACATTTATGTAATGGAGCAAAAATATTTTGATATTGGAGTATAGGAGACCATTGCGAAAACTATTTGAATGTCTCATTAAACACATACAATGATTTATTTTTTTCTAGACAAATATCTACCGTAACATATTTTTTAATTTATATATACAGTCGGTTTAATCGGGGCACCGGTTAATCGGGACAGCAACTTATTAGGGACAAATCCTAAAGAACGGAAACAAAACCGAGAAAATAACAAATGGAACTTTGGTTAATTGGACCAGCTGCTTAATCGGGACGATGTGTCCAGATTTAGCGGAATTGACTGCATTATTAATTTTCACAAGAATAAATATATGCATACATGCATAAAAGAAATCCCAAACAAAACGGTATTATTACTTTTGAGGAAAAGGCATGTTTCAGATCAGTGAACTTCTGTTTTAGTTTACTTTATTTAATAATAATAAATAGCTGGGAAAAAAGATCAAGCCCTTTTGCCGGATTTATAAATAATTTTATTAGCACATAAATATAAATATTGAAGTAAAAAGTTCTTAGCCTTTTTTCTCTTTATTTCTAGGATGAAATTAACAAATTTAGAATTTTAGGATTTAGATCAAATATACGCCATTTTGTTCGATAACTTTTGTCCATTTAGAAAGTAATTTCTTAATTTTGCGATTGAAGAAATTCTCGTCTCAATTGGTAAAAACTTGATCAGCTCTTTTTTACAAGCTTCTCTTCAGGCCAGTTTTTTACCATCAAGAACATTTTGAAATAGCTTAAAAAGGTGATAATCGCTTGGTGCCAGTTTTGGACTATACGGCGGGTGCGATATAACCTCTCATCCAAGCTCTCGGAGCTTCTGGCGCGTCTCTAAAGATGTGGACGGCCTGGCGATGTCTTGATGGGACATAATTGGAACACTATTGGCCAATTCTGGACGCTTCTCGCCTACTTCAATCTGGTCAGTTTTGACAGTATAGATCCGAATTCAGTGATTGGTCCAATCGGAACAGCTCATAGTGGAGGATTCCTTTCCAATCCCACCAAACACACCAAGCACATAGCAAAACATTCTTGGTTGTCAATCCGGGCTTGGCGATTGTTTTGGCTGGTTCACCGCAGTTGGACCACGATCTTTTTGTGTTATTCTTGTATATGACCCATTTTTCATTGCCAGTCACCATCCGCTTTAAAAATGGGACGCTCCAAAAGTTTTTTTGCGTCAATTCGTGTGGCACCCATACCGAGCTTCTTCTTGAGACCAGCCTGAAGAAAATATTTAATATATTAAAATATGTATTGCCTTCAATTCATAACTCTATTACTATAGAAAGATAAAAAAAGATTAATCAAAAACAAAATATACTAAATTTATAAATATATCAAAATAAAGCCATAAAATATGGAATTATAACAAAATTTTATACTATAAAATATTATTTTAGGGAGAGACCTATGCTCAGTAGGCCTTTGCACTACATCAATTTGTTTTTATTTTCTTATTTTGTTGAGTTTGTAGTATGCTGAATTGTTGGAACAAATGTTATTATATTTTATTTCTTACTTTTTTTCTAAGAAAATATAATTGAGAAAAATCTGTATATTTTTTGCTCACGCAAAAAAAAATAATCCATAAATAGCTGCTGCTTCTTTGTAAATAAAATAATTTTACTCGATCAAGTTTCCTTTCTCACATGGATTTTATATCTTTCAAAATGAGATTATTAATACAGCGGTTACCTTTACGTAGATCTTTATTTTCTACATCTTTAGGTGTTCAATATTATTTCAATATTCTAGCCGATAGTTGGCTGTCCTAAAATTATTTGTTACTGGAGAAAGTGATATCTATACATACGACATAAATAAATGTCAGAAAAAATAAATATCAGCTAATTACTTAACGGAAAAAATCGAATGAAAAGAGAAACATACAAATGTGTATGCATTGTTTCATTGGGAAAGAAAGCTGGTTGAATATTATCTTAATTAAATTAATTAATTATAATTACATGATAAAAAACTTTTACTCAATTATAAATATGATTTCAAAAAGATATAGAGCTATAAAGTAATAGAAGGGTCATACAAATTTGCACAACCAATATAATATTAAGGAAATTGAATTGTTGGATTTCTTAAATTATTTTAAATAGTAAAGTAAACAGTGCATATTCAATCATAGTATTGCGTATTACAATGAAATGCAACGAGGAAGAAGATTCCACTTCCGACTAGTAGAAAAAGTTGTTTCATGTTATTTGAGTGATTCAAGGAAAAAAGAGACAGAGCTGTGGAGACTCTGACGAAGAAAGCCTGAGAGAATATGTTTTGATTCATAATTTAGTTGGCTCGAGAGAGCGAGTCTATAGAAAGGGGCAATTAGTATCCCGGTTCTTCGCTTTCTCGTCTAAGATTGTACAAGCTACTTACATTCTTGCATACATTTCTCATAATTCCAGTCTTTAAGAGTTTTTGGAAATATATTTTTATAGTAAGCTTTTGATCTTTACAATTTCACAAAAATACATTCTCATATCGCTTTATGCCATTTTTTAAAATATGCATACAAAATATTTTTTTAAGATAAATATGTGTCCCTAAATTGTCAATATTTAGTCATTTAAAATTAAACAATCGATACAACGTAAGCAGACACATTGAAACCTATAACCGATCCATATTAAACCTCAGACATGGATAATGAAAAATCAATTATTTTGAATAAACGTATGATTATTATTAAGTCCTTAGATTGATTTTAGTGTGATGTATAAAACACATCGAAATAACAGGAAGTTTCAAAACCGGAATAGCACCACTTTATAATATTCTTAGGAAGTATCATAATCGACAGGATATGGAAAACAACATACTATAAAAGGAAATATAAAAACTGAAAACGGTCAAGATCAAGGAAATATAAAATTTCAGTAGATTGGTATCATGGGTATCATGGTTAGAAATGAGTTTATATTCGGTCTAAAACAAATGGTACGCAACAGTGGGCGACGGACAAGTGGGTGACGGTCAACTGGGCACCTGCCAACTGGCCTACGTTCAAATCGGCGACGGATACTCAATAAATAATCTAAAATATAATAAGATTATTAATAGTTGTTAGTTATTATAATAAATTAAAATTAATTTGAACACAAAAGTGATGATGTTGTTTTACTTTAACAGGGAAATCCTGCTATCACTTCTGGAAAACTTGGAAAAACTTTTTGAAAACCTGGGAAATCAGAAAAGGGCGATCTTCGTAACTACTTTTTACTTCACGATAATGAAAAAAACTCACTGCTGAAAAAACAACTTTCTTGTGCTCTTTGGCATCATTCGCCCAGCACCTTATTTTCCGGACATAGCGAAAATAACAAGAAAATGAGAAGAGTCTTCAGCTCTAATGTGGAGATCAGTAATGCAGTTAATGCTCAGAATAATAAGCTCTCGTTTTCGAATTCATTAAAGAAAAATGAAAAATATAAGATATTGATCTAGCGACCAAAATCCACAGAACCATGAAAAAAAAAAGCTCACGAACACACGAACACATATTTGAAAATAATTTTTAATTTAAAGTTAGACATCATTAACACTAACTCAAAACCGAGTAGGGAGGTTCTGCGGTTTAAACCGTTTAAGTCTTCGTCGATGAAATTCAGTATATGTTAGCAGTGGCAAGTTGGTTTGAATGGTCCACCAACTTATATTGGTATTTACAGCTGAGTTCCATTATCTCATCCTTCATAAACCTGACTCCACAGTATTGGTGTATATAAACGTTAGTGGAGAACCAAAGAGAATTGGCTATTGCTCTGAACGATTTTGGCTGAAACCGCCAATAACTTGTGAAGACGTCAAAAATTTTATTATAGTTATTTTAGAGAGCGCTGCTAATATTATAACGTTCTTAGAATTTTCAAATCGCTCTCCGTTCAAGAAATAATTTTTATTTTTTGAACGAATCGAGAGATTTGGATGAAACTTATTATAGTCATTTTAGAGAGCGCTGCTAATATTATAACGTTCTTAGAATTTTCAAATCGCCTCCGTTCAAGAAATAATTTTTATTTTTTGAACGA